CATTTTTCAGCCATTTGACATACTCAATACTGGTTTACAATGAAGAGACTCCATTAAAATCACACCTACTTTCCATTTCTTTCTCTCTGTCTCAAAACATTTCTCAGACCACCAAGGTTATCACGCCTAAACATCTAAACAAAACCTTTCTTGGGGGTAGGGACACTTTCCTGTTTTGACTCAGCTTCCTTGACTTTCATTTCCAGGCCCAAGTTTTTCTATTACAACAGCGTCTCTCACAGTTACTTTGCCTTAAAAAAACAGAATGGAAAACGACCAAATATTGTAAGAGGAGATCTCACTTTACCTGGCTTTCCACTATAACAGTGAAAGTCTTGTAAAGACTCTCTTCAGATTTGGGACATTTTACTAACTCTAAATGGATTATATGCTGAATGAATATTATGAGACATAGAATGTCGTTCATAGTTCAGCATCTTCAATGTTTTTTCCACTTGATCTCCTCCTTAATGCCTTGGTTAAATGGCTGAGTATATTTGAACCACTGGTCCCTAACGTGCATAAATTAGAAAAACAACGTATTATTAAAATTTCATGTATCACTTGATTTTGAAAGTAGCCCACTTTGGAGATCACTACCTTAAAACCTTTGAGGATCATTGTTTAAAGATGATGCATTTAAACGTTTTCCCCTAAGATGTGTTTTTAAATGCTCTCTAGAGCACTTAACCATTTTTAATATAATCCCAAAGGAGAAACAATAATTTTTGTGTGTGTTTTTCCATACGATTCACCAGAGCTTAGAATACTTAGTTGATTATCATGATGCCAGAAAGGAAACTTGTACTTTTTACCCTTACTAATCAGTCTGTGAGTATTATCTATGCTTTTTCACATTTGTTAAATTTGTGAAACTCTATCTACATCTTTTATGTATATGCAATGCAACCAATGTATATAACACTATTAACCACATCTCACGCACCTGCCTATAAACTTGAGCTTCAAAGATGACATTATAAGGATAAAAGAAGCTTTATTTGATGAAAGACATCCCCTCTTTGATACTTACTTGGATAAACTTTTCCTTTTTCTTCCAGGGTAAATGACGAATCCCTCTCTTTGAGTTCTCTTTGTTTTGTTTTAGCTACTTTTCTTACAATCTCCAGGTCCTTGACAGGAGACAGAGTCATTTAATGGTTTTTGAAAAGAACACAAGCATATCACAAGGGAAATACTTCATGTAAATATGTGGCATGTATTTGGGTATCCTCTAAATGCATAGTCTACTTATAGTGATATCATTTGGCTGGAAAAATTGCTCAGATTCTCCAGTGCTTTTATGCTTTCTCATCAAGGTTAGAAGAAATTGAAGACTTTTACCAACTTTTGCAGTCGGTAGTTGATCAAATATGCAATCAAGATGCATTGATACTTATTGGTGATTAGATTGCAAAAGTTGGAAATAAAGAATAAGGATCGATAGTTGGAAAATACGGTGTTGGTGATAGAAACAACACCAGAGATCGAATGACAGAATTTTGCAAGACCAATGACTTCTTCATTGCAAATATCGTTTTTCAACAACATAAATAGCAACTATGCACATGGACCCCACCAGAAGGATGGAATACACAGGAATCAAATCAACTACATCTGTGGAAAGAGACAATGGAGAAGTTCGATATTATTGGTCAGAAAAAGGCCAGGGACCACCTGCAGAACCGACCTTCAATTACTCATATTCAAGTTCAAGCTGAAGCTGAAGGAAATTAAAACAAGTCCACAAGAGCCAAAGTATAACCTTGAGTATATTCCACCTGAATTTAGAGACCATCTAAAGAACAGATTTGAAACACTGACTGCTAATAACTGAAGACCAGACAAGTTGCATGATGACATCAAGGGCATCATAAATGACCAAAGCAAAGAGTTGTCAAAAAGACAGAAAACAAATAAAAGATCAAAATGAATGTCAGAAAAGATTCTGAAACTTGCTCTTAAACATATTAGAGCAGCTAATGCAAATGGAAGAAATGATGAAGAAAAAGAGCTGAATAGAAGATTTCAAAGGGTGCCTGAGAAGACAAGTAAAGTATTAAAATGAAATGTGCAGAGACCTGGAATTAGAAAACCAAAAGGGAAGAACATACTCATTATTTCTCAAGCTGAAAGAACTGAAGAAAAAATTCAAGCTTTGAGTTGCAATATTGAGGGATTCTATGGACAAAATATTGAATGACCCATGAAGCATCAAAAGAAGATGGAAGGAATACAAAGTAACTGTACCAAAAGGAATTGGTGGAAGTTCAACCACTTAAGGATGTAGCATATGATAAAGAACAGATGGTACTGAAAGAGGAAGTCCAAGCTGCATTGAAGGCACTAGTGAAAAACAAGGCTCCAGGAACTGACAAAATACCAATCGAGATGTTTCAACAAATGGATGCAGTGTTGGAGGTGCTCACTCATCTATGCAAAGAAATTTGGAAGATGGCTCTCTGTCTGACAGGCTGGAAGAGATCCATATTTGTGCCCATTCCAAAGAAGGTGATCCAACATAATGAGGAAATTATTGACCAGTATCATTAATATCACACACAAGTACAATTTTGCTGAAGATCACTCAAAAGCGGTTGCAGCAGTACATCAACAGGGAACTGCCAGAAGTCTAAGCTGGATTCAGAAGAGGACATGGAATGAGGGATATCACTGCTAATGTCAGATGGATCTTAGCTTAAAGCAGAGAATACCAGGAAAATGTTTACCTGTGTTTTATTGACTATACAAAAACATTCAACTGTGTGGGTCATAACAAATTATGGATAACATTGCAAAGAATGGTAATAACAAAACACTTAATTGTGCTCATGAGGAACCTGTACTAAGACCAAAAGATAGTCATTCAAACAGAACAAGGGGATACTGTGTGGTTTAAAATCAGGAAAGCATACGTCAAGGTTGTATCCTTTCACCATATTTATTCAATCTATATGCTGAGCAAATAATCTGAGAAGCTGGACTAATATGAAGAAGAATGTGGCATCAGGATTGAAGGAAGACTCACTAACAACCTGTGATATGCAGATGACAATACCTGCTTGCTGATAGTGAAGAGGATTTGAAGCACTTACTGATGAAGATCAAATACCTCACCCTTTAGTATGATTTACACCTCAACATGAAGAAAACAAAAATCATCACAACTAGACCAATAAGGAACATCATGATAAATGAAAAAATACTGAAGTTGTCAAGGATTTCATTTTAGTTGAATCCACAATCAACGTCCATGGAAGCAAACGTCAAGAAATCAAACAACTTATTGCATTGAGCAAATCTACTGCAAACAACCTCTTTAAAGTGTTATAAAGCAAAGATGTAACCTTGAAGACTAAGGTGCACCTGACCCAAGCCATGATATTTTCAATCACCTCATATGCATGTGAAAGCTGAACAGTGAATAAGGAAGACCGAAGAAGAATTGACACCTTTGAATTATGGTGTTAGTGAAGAATATTGAGTACACAATGGACTGCCAGAAGAACGAACAAATCCATCTTGGAAGAAATACAGCCAGAATGCTCCTTAGAAATAAGGATAGTGAAACTTCGTCTCATGTACTTTGGACATGTTATCAGGAGGGACCAGTCCCTGGAGAAAGACATCATGCTTGGTAAAGTAGAGGGTCAGGGAAAGAGAGGAAGACGCTCAATGAGATGGATTGATACAGTGACTGAAATGATGGGCTCAAGCATAGCAATGATTGTTGAAGATGGCGCAGGATCAGGCAGTGTTTCCTTCTGTTGTACACAGGGTGGCTGTGAGTTGGAAATGACTCAATGGCACCTAACAACAACAACAACAACATCAAGGTTAAAGTGAAACAATACTCTTATGTATTTCTTTGTGTGTGTGTGTGTGTGTGTGTGTGTTAGGGAGCACTGTTTTTCTGTTGGTTTGGTTTCCATTACTTTGTATTCTAGGTCAATGTCTTATACTTTTAATAATTTCTGTTGCAACTTCACTTATTTGTCTAGCCTTAGTCAGGCTGGATTTGTAAATTTCAAATTCGTAAATATCAAACCACCATAATTTTGTCTACTGAGAATTGAATTCATCAGGTGGAAAGAGCTTCAAGATGGGGTAATGTGTGTTGGTCAACATCCGTTCCAGTGCTATAACTTTGTCTCTAAGAAATCTCCTCTTGAGAGCCTTGAGCATATTTCTTGGCCTCTTAAAGCCATTTGTTTCTAATTTGAAAAATAAGTGAGCTACTATTATTTTCATATTATCTTGTGCTCCTTGGTTATCCTGCACCCCATTTTAGATACTACTGCCTCTGAATCACCGATTAATTGAGGCTTAACTTCAATATTTTAACATATGTTTTTAATTAATTTTAAAAACAAATCCCTTCTATTATTATTCACTTATTTAAATGTGTCCCAAGAGGTTAATAAACATCTATATCAGAACAGAAACACTCAATCCATCCAGAAACGTTAATGGGTTCAGGAAACAGCTTACTGTGCGGTTTTGTTTGCACGGAGGGAGTCTATTGGTAACTCATCATTCTGTGATATTGAGGTTTAGAATTGATGCCTAATTAATGATAGAAATGGAGGATCAATATACTACTAACAAAATAAAATAAAATAAAAATAAACATATATAAAATAAAATAAAGAGGATCAAGTATAGTGACAATTTAAAAAATCAAGAATCATACTTACTCTAAATATTTGGTGAAACATCCATAAAAGATGTACATGGACAGAGGTATAAACAATATGTATCAGTATAGATGAAGTTTATGATGAAGGTGGTGGTTAAAAAAAGAGGTAGTTATGTAGGCATTATTTTTTTTTAAGTCTTCTCAAATGTCATGTTCCTCATTTCATTTCTTGACCAATCAGTATTTACAAATATGGAGGGTGAAATTTAATGGCTGAGGTCCCTGTGTGGCACAGATAGTTAATGTGCCCAAGTGCTAACAGAAAGTTCAAATTCTGCTAGTGGTGCCACAGAAAAAAGGCATGGTGAGCTACTTCCAGGAGATTACAGACATTGAAAACTCTGTGGAGTGCAGTCCTACTCTGAAACTCGTAGGGTTGCCACGAATAAGAATCCACTCAACTGGCAATGCATTACCTGTAATGGCTTCATAAACATGAGAAATTTGGATTGGTACATGTCACAATTGCTCAGATCTTTTTCCTGGGCCTCTGTCTTTGGCAGGTTCTAGAACTCCAGCTATGTCTATGATGTGTGTTTGTGTTTTAAGTTTTAGGTAATTCTAAACTCAATTTTATAAAGACATAAGATGGAATAATATCTCTGTTCCTTTTTAGGATTAATTTCATAACATGAAGGTGACTGTTTGCTTCCTCAATATTGGGATAGCAGTCCTATAAACATGTTCATATGCTATTTTGGAGAAGACGTCCTTGCCAAATGACACCCAGTTTTACCCACCCTCTTCCTACTGTTGGGAATCCCAGGGCTGGAAAATATCCATATCTGGATCAGCTTTCCCTTTTGTGCTGTGTATTTGATTGCACTCATTGGAAACTTCACTATCTTATTTGTGATCCAGACTGAGCACAGCCTCCACCAGCTTATGTTCTACTTTCTTGCTATGCTGGCTACCATTGACCTGGGCCTGTCCACAGCCACCATCCCAAGGATGCTAGGCATATTCTGGTTCAGCCTCAAGGAGATACTTTTTGATGCCTGCCTCACTCAGATGTTTTTCATCCACATCTTTACTGGTATGGAGTCTGTAGTCCTCCTTGCCATGGCTTATGACCGCTATGTAGCTATTTATAACCCTCTTCGCTATAGCACAATCTTACTAACAAGATAGTATCTCTCATTGGTTTTGGAGTAAATGGGAGATCTTTCCTCTGTGTATTCCCCTTTGTATTTCTCATCTTGAGATTGCCCTTCTATGGGCACCATGTCATCCTCCACACCTACTGTGAGCACGTGGGTCTTCCTTGCATGGCCTGTTCCAGTATCACAGTCAACATTATATATGGATTGGCAACCATTGCTATCTTGGGGTTTGACATCATGGCCATTGCCCTCTCCTATGTCCAGAGTCTCCGTGCTGTTTTCTGTCTTCCCTCCCATGAGGCCAGGCTGAAGTCTCTCAGTACCTGTGGTTCTCACGTCTGCATAATTTTGGCCTTTTAGACTCCAGCCCTCTTCTCTTTTATGACTCACCGCTTTGGCCGAAGTGTTCCCAGTTATATCCACATCCTTCTGGCCAATCTGTATGTAGTCATTCCACCTATGCTCAACCCTGTCATTTATGGAGTCAGGACTAAGCAGATCTGTGAAAAAATGCTTAGAATATTTGTCCAGAAATAAGGAATGGAAAAAGAACTCCAGTTTTTGTCTAGAAAATTAAGTGCAAATACATGTAAGTCTGAAGAATGAGGAGAGGACTTTGAAAGGATAAATGAAATGAGGACATAATTGATTAACGGGAAGGATGTCGTTTTGTGCATTTCATTCATTCAGTTGGTGAGACTAGAAGCTTTGGAGTCTAAGTCAAGGTGGAGCAACCAGTGAATATGATTATTTTGAAAATGAACATGAACTATATTCATAAGGCCCAAGGAGCTGAGCTTTGCCTCTTTCCCTTTTGGCACCAGGTATTTTCCCTTTCTCATTTCCCTTGTTGTGTTGTTTCTCCCTCTCCTTGTCTACCACATTATTGTTGTTGTTGTTGTTCTTCTTCTCTCCCTCTCTCTCTCTCTCTCTGTTACTCCCTCCCTCCCATAATTTTCTTTGTCACTCTGCTCCATTGGACATTCGTGTATCTGTTTCCTTTTTTTCTCTCTTTCTCTCCAGCTTCCTACCTTCATTTATCTCTATTTCATGCATTTTAAAATATATAAAAAAAAATGTAGTAGTTGATTTTTTGAGTAGGCTATTGATTGAGTTACTGGATCGTCAGCTTTAATAAAGGAAATTTTCCTATATGACCTAAGTGCCCAAGATGATGAACTTGCCACAAGAATCATCAGAGTCATATGGAAAAAAATGCCAATATGGTCAAAGAATCAATGTTGAAGGGCCACATCAGGAGGATTTTGATACAAGAAAGTATAACTAAAGGCAAGAGGCCTGGGAAACTAAGCAGAATATTAAGGGGTAACTATTACAGCATGGGAAACCCTGGTGGTGTAGTGGTTAAGAGCTATGACTGCTAACCAAAAGGTTGGGGGTTCAAATCCACCAGCCAGTCCTTGTAAACCCTATAGGGAAGTTCTACTCTGTCCTATAGGGTCACTATGAGTCAAAATTGACTCGACTGCAGTGGGTTTGGTTTTTTTTTTGGTATTGCAGCATACAAAGAAATTCTCCTATCTTTGTTTTCCTCCTACTTTTCTGACCACTTTTTTCTGTTTTCTTAAGATGCTTCTCTTCATCTACACCTTTTTCCTTCATGGTTTGATATTTCCAAGTTCAATCTTTGTAACTCTAGGTACATTCTCACAGATACTGAAATTCCACGTATACAAAACTAAACAACCACTCCACTAAAACAAAAAAAGATATTTCCTACATGATTTATAGAAGCACTATTCATTTAGAAGCCAATGCTGGATGCATTTGGGTCATATTAAATTATCTGTTTGATTTGAAAGAGTGCTCAGAATATTTGTCCAGAAATATGGAATGGAAAAAGAACTCCAGCTTTTGTCTACTAGTATTTAAAATAATTTCTCAATTGCCTGCCCCTATTTGTACACATTGGCTGAGAATTAGCTTGCCTCCCCAAATTGGCTCTAGGTTTCTTAAGAAAACATAGGCTGTATGCAAATAAATATGTTGAAAGCAAATACATACAGATCTATGAAATACTACTGGGTCTGAATAGGGAGAGGTTAATTCTATTAATGGAGTAAACCACCTATCAGGGAAGGCATCGTATATAAGTTAATGATTTATATAAGTTCCATAACAGGACTTTCATGAAAAGAAAATATTATGAGGATTATAATACAGGTTTGATGAAACCTTTTATTTGTATATCCACATGTAGGGTAGAGTGGTATAGTTAATACAGAGGGTGAAATGGGGACCAGGGATGGTCAAGTGGGTTAAATCAGGTCATATACCAGTTTTTTTAATGGCAAAGCATTTGGTATTTAACCTACAATAATTATCTCTGTATCATTGTAAATTGTCTCATCTGTAAACAATAGGCGAATTATATTTCTTGTGAGAAGAGATAATATGAACCAAAAGTTTGATACTGGATCTGACACATTCTATAAACTTAAAATGTAAACTATTATTATTTTCATGGTCTCGGAAACCATTGCTACTTTTGGTTGAATATTATTGCTTTCACATTATTCTCTCATAATTGGAAAATTATTTTCTGTTATATTTTTAGTTAAAACGATATATAAGTAGATGTTGTACTATCCTGTGAAGTACAGTGATGCTCTTTAAAGACTAATGGTCAAGTGTGAAAGAGAGGTGGCCAAATACTTGTGTTATTTGAAACCAGGATGGTCTTAAATTTGTAATTAATAAAAAAAAAAAAAACTCATTTGAAATTATATAATAACAATGCTTCTAAAGCAATCATTATGTATCAGGTACAGTTCCAAACACTACACATATTAAATGATGCAATTTTCATGACAATCTTATGATTTAGGTAGTATTTTGATTCTCATTTAGCACTTCGGGAAACTTAGGCACAGAGACATTAAGCACTTTGTCCAAGGTCACACAACTACTAATATGTTGGACTTGGATTCCAAACCAGGCAGTGTGGTTCCATAGTTTGCTTTTTACAACTACGCTATAATGTAGTAATATGTCTGATATTTTAAAAATTACTCTGAAATATTTTATTTGCATTGGAAATTTTACATGTCTCAGTGTTAAGTAAAAAATAGTGTTATAAGATTATATATAGTATGTAAAATATCAACAAAAATATTACTTTTGCTATTAAATTGACCAGATAGTAAATTATTTATACCTAGATAGTGAGATTTGTTTTTTATTATAAGTTTTATTGATTTAATGAAATGTCTACTGCTGAGCATAAGTACTTTTAATTATTATAAAATATTATTAAGTCACGAAAATTTTTAAAAACACTAAAAAAGTAAAATTGAATATCTTATGTTTCATCATAGCTTTTTGTCCACATTTGTCTGGTCTCTTTTTAACTTCACTTATACAGCAAAGCCTGTTCATCCCAAGGTACGTAAATACACTTGTCACCTTTTATTTTCATTTATTGTTAGTAATTACTATTTTATTTCTAATTTACTAATAAAAATAAAACATGCAGTCATCCTTGAATCCGCATAAAATACTATAATATAATCTCATTAGCTCTACCTTCAAAATAGATCCAAGACTCTGAGCATTTTCATTCACAACTCTCTGACAAACTTTGTCCAAGCCATCCAGCATCATTTCTCTCCAGCACTTTTTAAATAGTCTATTACTTGACTTTCCTGTGTTTATCTTACGACATCTACCCCTTTATTCTCAGAACAACCAGAGTCATCCCTTTCAAACATAAGTCAGATAATGTTATTGTTCTCCACTCACAAACTTTCAATGAGAAGCAATCTATTCACAGTAAAATCTCAAGTCTTTATTGCAACTGGCTATCCTTATTTCTGAGTTCTCCAGTTGTGACTCTTCCCTGTATTCATCCTACTTCCTTCCACACAGAACTGCTGCTGTTCTATGAACATAGTAGTTATGCTCCTGTCTCAACACATTTTCACTAGCTATTCCCTGGAATGTTCTTCAGTAGTTTATCCCTGTGGCTTGCTCCCTAAACTCATATCATTTCTCAAATGTGACTTTCTCAGTGTAGCCTTCTTTGATTACTCTATTAAAATAGAAATTCTCACCCTCTGTGATGGATTGAATTGTATCTACCCAAAATATGTATTGAATTCCTGACCTTCTGACCTTTGTACCTTTGGGTATGATCCTGTTTCAAAATACAGTTTTATTTGTGTTATGTTAATAAGAGAATACAGTATAAGGTGGATCCTAAACCTAATCATTTCTGAGATGTTTTCTGCCTATGTTAAGTAAACAGGAACACATTCCAAAATTAATGACATCATTAGACATCAAAAGCTCAGTCATAAGATTTTGCTATAGAGTGGTACGAACAAATATAGGAAAGATCAAAACAAAGAAGATTCCACTGTGCTAAAGGTCTCCTGCACTGAACTTCCATGTATTTTTCAAATCATGACAGTCTCCTCTGCTGTTTTTTTTCTCTCTCATCCATTACTGTATAATTTTATTTTTCCAGGATCTGTTATTTTTATCTATACTTTTCATATTATATATTTTATGATTCATGACTTTTTTTTATCCTCAGATTTGAATGCAGTCAGTTGTGCTAGATTACTCAGTTTCTTATGGCACTTTTTTATTCTTCTCTCAATATAATCAACATCTTTTACTGAGTCAATTTTCCAAAAGGTTTAATGCTGAGAATACAAAGATAACTAGACCAGCTTCCCTGATCTCAAGGAATTTATATATTTTCAAATTATTTTGCTAGAATGTAACATAGCAAAGCTACAATGGATGTGATTACAAACATTTTGGAGACTGGTGAATTAATTAATTAATGCAGCTGAGGTACAAGGTACAGAGTCAAATAAGCTGGGGCATTTGACCTGGTGAGGAAGGATGTCTAGGTTTCAACATAGAGTAAAACAACATTCCACAGTTAGTGAAAACATGAAGGAGTAGAGATTATGAGAGCTCTGGGTATGTTTGAAGTACAGTCAACTCTCAGGGTTCCACACCCATGCATATCAAAAATATTCAGAAATAAAAGGAAGGTTCCAGATAGCAAAACTTGAATTTACTGGGCTCCAAGGACTCTGCGGAATCCACATGAGTGAAGTGGTGTATAGACATACCCTGCTGTAGCCTCCTGCTATTTCACAGATCCTCAGTCTCTCTACAGCACTTGTTCTTTGAGAATTGTTTGCCTCAAGTCTCATTCGCTACTTGTGTTGTGTGCACCCTTTTTTATGTGAAAAGAAAAGTTCCAGGCTAGTAAGGGATGGCTGGCTAGCTATATGTAAAGTGCTGCAGCCTCAAGAACTTCAAGAACTGCAAGACCACAGCATCAGCCTTCCCAGAGAGCTCAAGAAACTCAGAGAAAGGCTACCTTCCACAGCAAGTGTTCAACTGTGATTAAACAACTATTTACATAGCATTTACATTACATTAAATATAAGTAAACTAGAGATGATCTAAAGTATACGGGATGATATGTGTAGGTTATATACAAACACTATGCCATTTTATATAAGGAACTTGAGTATCCGCAGAGTTTGGTATCCTCAGGAGTCCTGGAACCAATTCCCTGAAGATACTGAGGGACAACTGTACTTCATTTATTGAATGATGTCTTTATTAAAGTTGTTGGGAGATAATAAAACTGATTAAGAGAAGAAATGAAGCTTGTCATGGTAAAGAATTTAAAATTTTCATCATAATAAAGAGTTGTATCACCTCTTATGTAGCCAAATTACTTAACCTCTCTGACTTTTTATTTCTTTATTTCATATATAAGGATGATAACAGTAACCATTAGAGTTATTCAAATGTTTTTTAAA